GTGTGTGTGTGTGTGTGTGTGTGTGTGTGTGTGTGTGTGTGTAAAAACGACTTGTGCACGTGACCTTGCAGGTTTTAGCATTGGTGACGCAGAATATAAACCCCGTTTTCATCTGTCTTTATTTTTACCTTTTTTTTTTCACATTAAAGATGCACTGTCAATTGCCTCAAAAATATCCCATAAACCATTACATGCCGTATCCAGTATCAATATCCGTGAAGTTGTCCATGTTTTAAAGACTCTTTGAAATTAAAAGCTTTAATTGTTTGTATCTTGATACTGATCAAACCAGTCTAAAATATTGTTATTCAGAACCAAAGAGCTGGTCACCTTCTGACTGGACACAAAACAATGACAGACAGCCACAAGTCAGAAACTCCTGACTGAACTGACCTCTTTGTTGTCTCCTCTCTGATCCTCTGTCAGTTAAGCCAAACTAAGAAAACAAGCCAAACTAATACAAATCAGAACGAAATGTCAGCTGATAGACGCTCATTAGGAAAAAATAAAAATAATTTCTTGAAGGTTTGCATGTCTCTTGTTGCCTTTAATGATAAACCTTTAAACTAAGATTCCCTCATGCTGACAGATAACGTTATTGTTTTGTCAAACACTGAAAATAATGTCACGTGGCATCTCATGTTGTGAGAGGTCACGTCTGAGTTGACTTAGTTTTCCMGTTATTTTTGTGTTTTTGCAATTTTAGCTCCAAAGTCTAATCAGACTGACCAAGGCTAAGAAGTAGAAGAAAATGTGAATGTGTGACACGTGTTTCCTCTGCAGGTGAGTTCAGCAGCATGGATCAGTGTGAGGACATGGAAGAGGAAGTCCCAACCTCCAAAACTGATCCATGTCAGGAACGTGAAGGCCAAAGCTGGGATCAGAGGTAAGAGAACCTTCTCTCACTGTCCATGACTCTTCTGCATGTCAGAGCTCAGCATCACTGGCTTTATTCACAGGAGGAAACACAAACCTGAGCCTGGACCTGGACCTGGACCTGGACCTGGACCCAGCCTTGTGTCCTGTAAGAGCGACACGTCTATGGGTCGTTTTATCAAATTTAAACCAACTGTACTTCCAGCAGCAGAGAGGTGAGCTCTATTTAAACATTGTAAATGTGTAAAATGTTTTAATCCAAACTGAGTTCTGTCTGGTTTTATTGTTTCCAGACTT